AGTAAGAGTTAGAGAAATTGCAAACCAAAAGACACACAATGTACATGGTTCGCACAACCTCTGCCTATGTCCATGACTTGAGAAAACCTCTCAAGGATTCCACTACGGCTCCTCCTTGCGGGTGGAGAGCAAACATTTACATGAAACAACTCCTTGCTTCAAAGTGCTAAGAGAAACACCTTCTCTTAGTCTTCCTTTGGGTCACACCAACCCTTACAAATGAAGCTAGTTTGTTTCTTCTTCCTTGGGCCATACCAGCCCTTACAATAGCTTAAACAAGCTTTTCCCTTGCCAAGAGCACCTCTTGGTCTTCTTCTCTCGAGAATGGATATTTGATGAAGTTCTCAAATAATGTCTCTCACATAGAAAAATATACAAATTATAGCTCTCATACTTAGAATTACAAATGAAGTAATCAAATGGAAGCTCAACTCTAAGTCTGCAAGATGAATCACATGAATGATATGCAATGTATTTCAATAGTGATTCCTAGTGTGGACAACTAGAGCAAAAGCTCCACAAGGAGAAGGAGGAACTAGAGCAAAAACTCTGTAGAAGTTCCTTTTAAAACCCTTAACACTAAACCAGAAAACCCCAACTCTATTTATAGAGTTTCTGGTGCATCTGATATACAATAGAGCTGTTGGGCACACAGTTCTAAGGAGATTGCCAAGTGTATCATATGGGAGACACTTGATATTGTAGGAATTTGTTTACATGATGTTATCTTAATGTTTGCATAGCTTTTAGGCTATTTTTCATATGCTTATGAATTCTCTTCCCTGAGGGGATGTCTGTAAATAGGGGTATGCCCTTATGAATTTTTGTATTTTATTGTTCATATCTATATAAAACTTACCTCCACTTAGGAAAAATATATATATATTATCTCATAGTTAAATAAATACACGATTATGGAAATAATACTTGGACCCACATGGCACGTAAAACGATATATAAAAAAAATTATCAAAAAATTTGAAATAATCTCAGACTTATATATATATGAACTGATATATATATATATATAAATTCTAGATTAGTTGAAATAGAAAACTCATGGCATTACCCTATAAAAAAAAAATCTTATAGTTGCTATTGTATGATATTATCAAATATTAAATGAATCTATATGAATATTGCACGCTACTATTTTCACCTCAAAAGAAACAAAACAAGGTTTAACCTACCGTATGTATTTAAAAGGTACCAATATAAATTATATCTTCATTATTATAATAAAGAATAAACATATAAACAATTACCTATTATTTATTAGGTAATCAAAAGGTAAATTTATTATTAAAAAGCAATTGAATTCACAACAGTAACCTAAATTTTTTATTAAACAATTATCTATTTAAATATCTACTAAACAATAGCAACTGAATTGTAAAAGGAATAAGTTAATTTATTAAGTAAACAAAAGGTACATTTATTATTAAAAAGCAATTGAATTCACAAAGTAAACATATAAGTGAATTAATTATTTATAAAAATAAGCAATAAATCTAATTGGTAACTTAGACAAATATATATATATATATATATATATTGAGTACTAATCTCTTGCTCCACATGGAATAAAAAAATTCTTTCGCACTTTTTATAGTGACCATTAGATTAAATCTAATGGTCACATTCTAAACCCACCCTTAGCTTTCCTTTTTAATACAAAACCACTATCACTATTTCTAGTTTCCAAATTTAATATTTATGAATACAATTAATTATAACAATAAAAGATAAGTACTAAAAAAATAAAAATAGAAATCTCTTCACTTCTTGAAATCACATCTCGCCATTAATTGAAAATTTAAATTTTTTTTTCCATAATTTTTTTTATAAATGTTAGAAAATTGCATCCATGACTTGATACTAAAGTTGACATTGTCTGTTTGAGTGTAAAAAAAAAAAATTAAAAATCACACTATTGACATACAAAACAATGGAACATCGACTAAAAAATAATAAAATATTAAAAATAAAATCTACTTGATCAACTTAATGTAATCTGTAATTTGCACTACACTTCACTCATAAAACAATTAATAGATTAGAATTTAAATTATTATATACCTCCCTAAATGCATGCTATTTAAAAATTAGAAATTCAATCTATTTTTCTAGCTCTTTGTCACAAATTCTAACTAGTTGTAAACACATTCCAATTACTCATCTGTCATAATAAATCGTACAATATATTTTTTCTAGTTATATTATAATAACAAAAACTTATTGACGTAATGAGGAGATTCACAACAAAATATGCTATTATTCTATGAAATTTCAGATTTCCTTTGTAAATTAGTTATTTTTCTTAATATTTTCTTTAATATTGTTATTATTATACTATCATTATTTTTATTTTTTTAGTACTTACCTATTATTTTAATTAATTGTATTGGCAAATATTAAATTTGAAAACTAGAAATAATGATAATGGTTTTGTATCAAAAGGAAAGCATATAAGTGAGTTTGGAATGTGACCATTAGATTTAATCTAATGGTCACTATAGAAAATGCGGAAGAATTTTCTTGTTCCATGGGGAGTAAGAGATCATTACTCTCTCTCTCTCTCTCTCTCTCTCTCTATATATATATATATATATATATATATATATATATATATATATATATATTTTCGGGGTAACTTAACTTAGACAATTATTTTTTCCCGGGTAACCTAGACAATTAAATAATTTAAAAATAAGTAATAAATCTAATTGGAAACTTAGACAATTAAATAAAAATTATAATAATGACCTATTAAATTAGACAAAAAATAAAAATTACCTATTTAAATTGGGTCAAATGCAAAAAATATCCCTAAAGTATGCTAATAGTGCATATTACACCCTTCAAGTGCAAAAAAAAAAAAACTCATAAAATTTCAATTTGGTACAAATAGGTCCCTATGACAAATTTAAACCCTAATTTGACTAAATTACCCTTACTAAACCATTTTATAAAAAATATAAAAATAAATAAATTTGTAAAATGACTAAAAATGACACTATTGGAAGACGCTCCTCTCGTACAAAAAACACTCCTAAAGTTTCAATTTGGTAGGTCCCTCTGACAAATTTAAACCATAAATTAACTAAATTACCCTTACTGATTCATTTTATAAAATATATAAAAATAAATAATTTTATAAAATGACCAAAAATAACACTATTGGACGACGCCGACAATGGACAATTAAGAAAAGTAAAATAAAAAAACAAAAATAAAGTATAAACTAAAGAAAACAAACTTTTCAAAACTCCGAAAATTAGTGCACACTGATCATAAAATTTATTTTTTATTTTTTGTTTAACAGTGTTGGTAAAAAAAATTTTATAGAAAGGAGTAAACTGGAATCTTAAAAAAATTAAATCATTGTTTTACAAATTTTCAAATTTTTTTTAAAAATTGTTTAGAGATATATTAAAGAAAAAAGTTATATATATATATATATATATATATATATATATATATATATAAGGTAATGTGCAAATAACACCCCTATACTATCTTACCTTTTTGTATCTAATCTAAATAAAATAGCTTGTTTTCAAAGTCTAACTTTCTAAAATATACCTTGTGTGTGTGTGGGTGTGAATATTACATTTATGGTGATAGCTTTAGTGCCCAGAGGAGCAATCAGCTGCCGAGAAGGTCCTGCAGCACCTGCTGCTGTAGCATAACTCTCCTTTGAGTATTTCGGCATATTGGCGCAAATCACCTGCAGTGAGGTTCCCATGCAGTTTCCTGCTGTAACTTTTAAGTGGTCCATATTTGGCCACATCATTCTTCAGCTAACGGACACTAAGGCCGTGTTTGGCCAATTACACCATTATTTATAAGTAACATTTCACCACCATTTATAAGTAACATCACAGAGTCTAAAAAGTAACATCACCATTTGTAAAAGGAAACATCACCATTTTTTATGGTGATGTTTCCTTTTACAAATGGTGATGTTACTTTTTAGACTCTGTGATGTTACTTATAAATGGTGGTGAAATGTAAAAATAGTCTAAAAAGTAACATCACCACAATTTATAAATTTCAGAATCTGGGAATTGTATATTGTCATTAATTCTTTCGGTTAAAACAAGTAATACTCCTTTATTGAATTATTGTAGTTAATACCTCTAAAAAAAACTGTATTTTTTTAAAATGCAAGTACTACAAGTAATTTCATAATTTGTTGAATGTATGCTTAATTTGATTAATTTATCTGTGGAAATGCTAAAAATTATTCTGACCCTGATTGATTTCTTAATTTTATTTGAATTTTCTTAGTTGAGTGCTCAAAATAATGTCCAGTGTTAAAATTGCACAATTAGATAGGATTTTTCAATTGAGTGCCTAAAATTTAGGCCAAAACTTGAATTTCCTGAATTGAGTATTACATATTTAGATGTATATATATTTTTACATTTTACCACCATTCAGAGAAGTCTAAAAGTAATATCACATAGTCTAAAAAGTAACATCACCACGTTTTGAAAGTGAAGATACTTATAAATAGTGGTGATGTTACTTTTTAGACTATGTGATATTAGTTTTAGACTTCTGTAATGTTATTTAACAATGATGGTGAAATGTTACTTATAAATAGTGATATAATTATTAAACACAGTATTAGTGTCTATTAAGTAGAGTAAAACGTGACCAAACTAAGGTCACTTATCGCTCACCGTAAAAAACATCGTGGGAATCACACAGCAGGTGACTTGCGCCAAGGGCGTATAAACTTCTACAAAGGTGGGAAGACTACCCCCAGCGTACAATGTGTGCGGGGGAAAAGCCTAGTGGAACGGTTATACCAGACTTGTATAGTCCATTTCATGAAATAAAAATTAATGAAATTTTTTATTGTGTTATGTTATTAGGATTTGAATGTAATAAAAATATTGTATATAGAATTTTGAAGACTAATTTTATCTTAGTGGAAATTCTACTTAACTTGGTTTTCTTTCTTTTCCTTTCAAATCTGGTCAAATTTGAAGGATTCTATTCGAGGGATCTTTCCTTTTCTTTCAAATCATGTCAAATTTGGAAGATTCTGTTTGAGGGGCCATTCTTCCAAATCTTTTCCAATCGTTTCTTCTCTATCCAATTACTCTCTACCAAACACTCTGTACAATATCTTTTTCTTTCTTTTTTCTCCAAATCCCTCTAATAAATCCCTCCATCCAAACAAAGCCTAAGCTATTATTCTGTACTGTGCTAGGGTTTTCAGAAGAACTGGTTGTCAAAGTTTGTTCCTTTTTCATTTATCCTCTTGTGTAATGTTGTTTCTTTTATGCACTCCCTGCAAAGAGAAGGCTGTTGTTTACGAATCAATTGTTGATTTTTCATTTATAACAGCAACCCTTTTACCCATTCTTCTTTGAGCGAATAAGTTATTGTTTCGTGACTGGTACGATGCCTTCGTATCCTCCATCTATTTTTATTTTTTTCTTACATTACAGTGGTGAATTTTAAGTTATTACTCTGTACTGTGCTAGGGTTTTCCGAAGAATTGGTTGTCAAAGTTTGTTCCTTTTTCATTTATCCTCTCGTGTAATGTTGTTTCTTTTATGCACTCCCTGCAAAGAGAAGGCTGTTGTTTAGGAATCAATGGTTGATTTAGAATCCATTTTGATTTAATAACATATCCCATCTTTTGGTTTTACAAATAATTTGCCCTTTCTTTTGTTTTTTTCTTTTTGATGATAAAAATCTCTCCTGTGTAAATGTGCATGTTAAATAATCAATGTTTGTTGGACCATTGATTTATAGCATTTTTCTGTTCTATTGAAAGATGTTTTGGACCATTAAACTCGCTAAAACGCTCGATTCAGGATTCAGGCCAACCATTCGCTGTTAAGATCTTGGAGAAGAATTGAATTCTTTGCCTCAAGATCACCGATCAGGTCACATACATAAATATATGTATATGTATATATGCACCTCTATATATACATATATTTATTATCATCTTCATTTTCATTATGCTATATTTATTCTTCTTCTGATGTGTTAGATACACACACTTCAATTCGTTGATTTGTTTGTCAAAAGCATTTTCTTTTATTTTCTGTGGATTTGTGAATACCAGTCTCTTAATTAATTAATTTTTTGAAAAATTTCCGTGAAAATATTTGCAGTTGAATTTTTGTGGGTTAGACATTCAAACTGAGCTGATTTTAATTTTTATTGGATAAATGAATTTTATTAAAGAGCAAAATGGAACTGACGATTGAAAAACTGGAGTAATTTGTGCTTGTGTGTGTATATATGGATAGGTTATCCTTTGTTTGTGTGACTCTCTTTTTCTATCATGACTCTCATTTGAAACAAAATGTTGGTACTGTATTCAACTGGCAATGGTGGTGAGGTGGTGGGAGGTGGCCGGTGGCGGAAGATCCAGAGAGGGGGAGAGTGTGTGTGTGATGAAGGAAGGTGAGGGTGTTGATGTTGTTGGAGAATTAATGGGGGTAATTTCGTCCTTATACAATTATGATGTTTTGGATGAAAGGACATTAAAAATTTTGGGGTAGCAATGCCATTTTACACCGATTTCGACGGTGTCAGTGACGGAAAAGTGATTTGGGGTGTTCGTGAAAGTTATTTTCAAAATTTCTATCCAGATTTGGCCAAACCTTAGGCATAACTCCTCTTTTTTCTAGCTTTTAATTGGATAATATTAAACATATATGCAATAAACAATGCCATGCTTAGATTTGAGATTTGGTGTCTAATTTATTGAGTTGTGCAAATCGGGAAATTTTATTCCAATAATTGTTGTTTGGGCTTAGAAGATACAAATTCCAAAATTGATTTTGTTACTAAACAAAAAGATTTCCATTCAGTTGCTGGGTTTAGAAAATCTGGAATTCTTTTTTATATTTCTACCTTTCTATTTCTGCAGCTCACCAAATTTGGGACAGCATCTCCGCCCTGTATTCCGCTCATTAAAGTCTGACTACACCCTCACACTAATCTCCTCTCAGGCCTCCCTACTTTTTGCCCAATCACCGTGTTATCTACTTCGCCAGCAGCAAAGATAGTCAGGTTGTCTCATAGAGTCTAAATACTTGCTATATTTCTTTCTTTGGATACATATTATATATATATATAGATCGATTTCATAAATATATTTATATGTACATATAAATTTCATACATACTTTTATATGTATATATGTATTTGTGTGTGGGAAGATAAATTTTTCAAAATAAAAAAACAAATAGGTTTTAAAGTGGCTTCAAAAAGACGAATAGTCATCAATTTTGAAACTAAATTGATCTTTAGTTGTCACTTTGTCAAAAAGTTTTAATAATTTGAAAGGTTAGGGTTTTGATCTAGAGATGATACGAATGAAGCCAAAATTACATTCATGGACAACATCCGTCGATGCCGGTGGAGAAAGCCTCATCGTACATGTAACTACCCTTATCCTATCTAGACAATAATTTTCGCTTTTGGCTCCCTCGGACCACACACTTCTTAGGGGGTCACCTATCTTGGTACTACTTCTGGTTAAGTACGCTTAACTCTGGAGTTTTAGTGGGTTCACGGCCATAACGACTTTAAAACGCGTTGTGTCATAAAAAGGTGTTGAATCTACATGTAACACTTGTCCCATCCACACCTAGGCGATGTGGGATTGTGCACTTGTAGCTCGCTTAGTGTGGTAGCCTACTGGTGTCACCTGCACACGCTCACATACACCCGCCCACAATGGGTGACTCCCTTGGAAGTCTCTGGTCCGGGAGAGTAAAAAACGGACAATATTGTGTCTGGTTAGGGTGAGGGTTGTTACAAATGGTATCAGAGTTTGACTTAGTCGGAAGTGTGGCCAATAAGGATGTTGGCCCCCCAAAAGGGGGTTGATTGTGGCGACTTTGTGGACTGGTGTGTGCAGGTGGCATCAGTATGCTACCACACTGGGCGAGTTACAGGTGCACAATCCCACATCGTCTAGGTATGAATGGGCAAGTGTTATATGTAGATTTAACATCTTTCTATGACACAATGCGTTTTAAAGCCGTGATGGTTGTAAACCCACTAGAACTTCAGAGTTAAGTGTACTAATCTGGAGTAGTACTAGGATGGGTGACCCCTTGGGAAGTCTCTGGTCCAGGGGAGCCAAAAGCGGACAATATTGTGTCTGGCTAAGGTGAGGGTTGTTACAGTACACCCCTCCCAAAATTCACACTTTGGTCCTTCGTCTTCCTCGTGCCAATCCTCTCTGGCGTTAGCAACCGACTTATTCGGTTGGAGTATTCAGAAAACACATCCTCAAACACGCCGGCGTTAAATGAGTTTGATGTGCGGTGAGAGAGTGCTTCACTGAGGAGTTGACTTGTTGTGTTGTACCACCAATTTTAAGTTGTTTGTATGCCTCCTAGATGTGTGAGTCAGTGAATCCACACCTATTCACCGGTGATTGTTTAATTAATTAATTCTGACAATATAAATTGTGAAGGAGGATTTGGTGTTGTAAACAAATAATAGGAATTTGAGTGCAGAACCTAGGGAGAAGCATGGGAGGGAGAGTGCAAAAGAGGTATGTGTGGAATTTAGATTCAATGGTCACTTAAGTGGAACATAATTTTAGGATTGACAACTATTTGGCCTTTTATAACTTCAAGGTCGGTTTAAAGCTATTATCTTTAATTTTGGTCACAAAAATCTAATTTATCTTGTATATATGCATACACACAGAAGTTTTTGAGATAAGAGTTTCATCTTTTTGTGCTTCCCTAACTTGTTCTCAGTATAACAGTTCAGTATGAGTTCCCGCATGGTAAAATTCGGGATCTGCATCGTTCATGCAACTCATCTTCCAGAGTGCAGTGAAAACTCCCAAATGCATGCTTACGTTGCAGGTTTTATTAAAAGTCAACAACTATATATGTTTCAATTCTATGCATATTTATCAACTTATTAGAGTGTAAATTAGTTATTTATATCCTGTTAACATTCAGTTGCAGTTGGGAAGCATAGAGTGAAGAAAACTCAAACCGGCTGGCTTAACATGCGAAGCTCGCTTTGGTTATCCATCTTATTTTTCAAATTAGACGTGTCGGAGGTTGATCAAGAAGGGGTCATGGTTTCTTTCAAGTTATACCGGAAGGATGCCAATTCCAAAAATGACGAGTACATTGGTGGGGTGTACAAATCTTTAAATCAGTTTTGGAATGAGAGGGTGATGAATGAGCAGGACATACCGTGTGATTTACCCTTGAAAAAGGATTTGGGTGAATTTGTTGGACGGATATATTTTAGTTACTGGTTTATTGAAGATCCCTGGTGGAACAAATTGAGTAAGAAAAAGATTTCCTGTACGCCGATTTTCTGTGGCTTAAACTCTAAGGTATAATATTTGTCTCTTTCACAAATTTCCTTTTAAACTAAGTTGTGTGAATTTGCCTGTGTGTGAAAGACAGTTGCATGAATCAGATGAAGGTTCTGAATGACATGGGTGAGAGAACTGAAAACAGTTTGAAATTCATTTATTGATAGCTTTTGGAAACTGTTATATAATAACAATTTTTTTTTTTTTTTTTCCAGTTACCTGAAAAATGTTTCTCAAAATATTTTTTCATAACTAAACTAAAACATGCTTTGGGTTGTGCTTCATGAGCTGCTTGACTGTCCCTGTTATTGAATGCTTCCGATCACATTTTCAGTAACAATTTAACGTAGAAATGTATGATTTTCAATATATTCAACTTGGAAAAATTAGGAAATCCACTATACTCCTCCTACGTGGTTTTATTTCTGTTTTATGAAATGAAAACTCGTGATTTTAAACATTTACTTTTAGTTGGCCATTTTTTTCCAAATGACTCTTTGTATTAAAATGCTATATAAATTGAGAATAAGGCCATTCAAATGCCAGACAAGCTTTAAGTTAGAAGTAAATTTCTTCAGTTTTTCTTTTATGATTGGTGTGGTCATTTATTGCAAACAGTTTTCTCATGGAAGCAAAAAGATCATTGGTTTCTCTTACAAAGCTAATGAATATGCTTCGATAGAGCCCAACTTTACAAGCCGTGTAGAAGGAGCCTTGGGCATTCGGGACTGGTTGGAATCACAAGGTCACCAGTACATTGTCATCGACGGCAAAGATGGATCTGATTGTGGTTAGTGCATAGACAAAATTACTCTATATAATGTATGTACTTTTGTGCATGTGAACCTGAATAACACGTTAACAGAGAACAAGTAACATCAAATAACTGAGATGAAGACGAAAAGCTATTTTTTCTAATTTTTATTAATTGAAATTTTTGAAAAGGAATACGGTTAAAATAATGGGTCACTGTTTAAAGTGCTAGTGTTGTGAAGTTATTGCTTCTTGGTTATAGAGAATAACAAAATCTTCTGTTTTAATGATTCCTTGTTGCAGAACTTGAGAAGCATATTCCTGATCTCCACGTGCTGATAACTACCCCTTTCCATCCGACCTATGCAACGGCTGAAAGGATCAAGAAGGCCAAAAAATTGCAACTGGTGCTCACAGCTGGAATTGGTTCTGATCTTATTGATTTGAAGGCAGCAGCTGCTGCTTGTTTAACAGTTGTAGACGTCACTGGAAACAATGTAGTCTCTGTTGCAGATGATGAGCTCATGAGAATCCTCATTCTTGTCAAGAATCTTTTGCCTCGATACCATCAAGTTTTCAGCAGGGAGAGGGATGTTACAGCTATTGCTCATAGAGCTTATCATCTTGAAGGAAAGACGGTGGGAATTGTTGGCGCTGGACGTATTAGCAGGCTTTTACTTCAACGTTTGGAGCCTTTCAACTGTAACCTCCTATATCATGATTGGGTCAAGATGGACTCAGAATTGGAGAATCAAACAGGGGCAAAGTTTGAGGAGGATCTTGACTCAATGATTGCCCAATGTGACATAATTGTCATCAATACACCTCTCATGGAGAAAACAAAGTAAGTCTTTCTTCTCACACCCAAGCCGCCTTCAACTAGAGTTCTTTTTAATTTTGAAATTAGTAAATGGGAAACTAACATGCATATGGACGATAAATTTAGATGAAGTTATGACATGTTTCAAACGTAGGGCAATATAAATCTCAATTGTTCTTGTTAACATCTAATAAATGTTGGGAATTCAATCCAACCTCTTGAATTGGCCAAAATGGTTGCAATGTTTTGAATGGGTGACCTGCCTTCAGCGCAAGCAGTTTATGATTATCTTAATTGGAAGCCCATCAAGCATGTGTTTAGTTCTTTTTGGGCATTTGTGAATTTATATCCTCGGTTGCTACTATTTAATGAGATCAAAATTTTGAGTTCTTAACTACAACTTAAAACAACATTTATAGTTGCCTATGTTATTATTTTTAAAATTTTTATTTTTTATAAATACTTAAATATTACATTTTTCTGTTTGTTTTATTCCTAAATGGTATTGCCAAGTGATGTATCAAGGCAGCTCACTGGTGACTGCTTCACCACTGCTAGTTTGGAACTTAAAATGCTTGGATTCTTTTCTTCACTTTAAGATGTATAATGTCCATCAGTCCATATGTACTTGTGAGGTGAATAACAATTCTGAGACCTAATCCACATTATATGATATGTTAATGCTTCTTTCAATCTATTATGTGGTTCAAAATAATGATGCTCTTTTGATGGTATTGCCAAGTGACATATCAAGGCAGCTCACTGGTGACTGCTTCACCACTGCTAGTTTGGAACTTAAAATGATTGGATTCTTTTCTTCACTTTAAGATGTATAATGTCCATCAGTCCATATGTACTTGTGAGGTGAATAACAATTCCGAGACCTAATCCACATTATATGATATGTTAATGCTTCTTTCAATCTATTATGTGGTTCAAAATAATGATGGTCTTTTGCTTTCATTTTTTAACACTATTGGCGACATGTTTATACTCTAATCAAAACTAATTACAGAGGGATGTTTGACAAAGATAGGATTGCTAAGCTGAAGAAGGGAGTTCTAATTGTTAACAATGCTTGGGGAGCAATCACAGATGCACAAGCAGTTGTTGATGCTTATTCTAGCGGACAAATTGCAGGTAATTTCAACATTGTGAATTTTATGGATATGGATGTTATCTATCTTTATGGAATACAAGTTGAGATATTCAATTTGTGAGTAGAGGGACTGCAATAGTAGTAATCAACTACTGCTTTCCTTTTAATTCTGAATTGGTAGGTTACAGTGGGTATGTTTGGTACCCACACCCAACTGGGCTTCGGAAATGCATGCCAATGCCAATCCAACCTATGACCCCTCGTATTTCTGGCACTACCGTTGATGCGCAGGTATTCAAGCTTTTAATTTTCCTTTGTTATTGTATTACAGTATTGTTGCTTCTTTTGTTCTGTTTCTGGTTTGTAACTCCAATAAAAATATTGAAATGACGCTAGTTGCAATATGCGGCTGGAGTGAAGGATATGCTAAAGAGGTACTTAAAGGGTGAAGATTTTCCTCCACAAAATTACATTGTCAAGGAGGGTCAACTAGTAAGCTACTGAAGATGATGCTAGTAAGGCTCGTAAGTGGGATCTCTCACATCTGAGGGTTTAAACTTCTAACCTCTTAAACAGTTTTAATATATACAGAGTAGTAGTGTAACATAACTCTTTGGGAATGGGTTTTAAGAGCAGACAAAAAAAATGTAAAAATTGTATAAATAAATTTAAAAAACAACGATATGCATGAATTTAATTTGGTTCGACTCGAGCAAAATCGAAACAGAAAGATTGACTTACTATATGGGTGTCTGAATGGTGTGAGGGTATTTTCGACTCCCAGCTTAATCTCTCATTGCACAGAGATTGTTTCTTTGACTAGAATTGTACTTGGTTATTTCCAAGAAACCAAATGGATCTGAAATTAATGCTAATAATGTGTAATTAATCTGAGTTTATTTGGAAAAGCTAAATCCAAATTGTATTTGAGTTTATATTCATTCGGTAAATTAGAAAAGTTTGGATTCATTCTCAGAAATTAGTTCTTCAAATTTAGCCAAGAAGTGACATCAATGTATTGTGTTTCGATCATATTGAAGAGGTATAGCAGTTTTGTACTCTTTTTCAGGACTGAGAAAGTTCATTATGAAGGTAAAATCATACACACACACACACACACACACACACACAAATACTTACAGTGCACTATAAATTTATGTTAATATTAGATACGATTTGTCTCAAGTGCGACTGTCTGGCACTTGTGCATTTGTCTTTCATATTTTTTCATAAAATAAAGAGTTGTGGATGCTAATGTCACTTCCCTACCAACATGCCTAATAATGTATGCTAGCATCGTCTTCGTTTTACCTCTATGTCAATTATAATTGTGGAGGGCCTGGAATGGAAAATTTGTAAATTTCACTATTCATTCTCTTGCCCTTTTTCTTTTCTCGGTAAGTAAATGGATATTTGGGAATTGGGAGTCGTGAAATTTAGATATACAAATTGACAATGGTTAGAAGAATAATGTATAAAGAAATATGGAACAGTGCGCGCGCACGCACACACCCACACACACATAATCAACAAGAGAAAATAAATTGACATTTATAAAATGCTCTGAAGTTGTAAATACAAAACTTGTCGTTATTCCTGTTGGCTTCCGTCATCAAAAACTAGACGGCGAGACAGCTAAATTAAGAGCTTGACCAAATGAGGCAGCCTCTGAAAAGGATTTACAGGGAGGAGTGCAAATTTACAGATTTAAATGGATCCACTCAAACAAATTTAAGGATTTAATCACTAAACTCGTCAATGGATGGAGCAAAGAATGAGCTGTTTACCATTTCCTAGAGTTACTGCACAACTCTAGACAATTGAAATCATAGAATTCGCCAGAAATAAGCATTTCATTAGACGCGGGCTGAAATTTCTCCCTATTTAAAGTAGGTGACAAAGAAAAATCCATTAAATTACCTGCAGCATGCTATTCCGGATGAAAGCTGTATTGAAGCAAGTATAGAAAAGACGTCCTCCAATCATTTTTTTTTTTATAGAATATGACACCAACGTCTCCATTAACCTGCAAGAAAATATAGCCCATTTCATGCTAATGGAATCAAATGATAGAAAAGTATATAAAAATATAGCCCATTTCATGCTATGAAAATCAAATGGTAGAGAAGTATATAAAACACATGTAGAGTTTTTTGGGCAACATATACGAAATAAGTGTACCAAACTAATCATGAAATTGCCACATACTTCCACAATGACATATATGGATAATGAGCGGTGCTGATTCCTCATTTAAGATTAATTCCAAGTTTTTAGAGATAATTCTAAAAAAATAGAATTTTTTAGATTAATGGACAAAATAATGAAGTCAAAATAAAGTTTTCTAAATCAATAAAATTTTAGTAAAATCTGACCGTAACATGGAAAGCTACAGTATATTTATATATATATATTTTTTCAAATCACCCTTCTATTGTTATTGTGAAATTATGGTACTGTCCCTCTCTCATAAGATGTTTGGGTCTCTGTGCAAGTCTTACGAAAATCCATTGCTCTCTCTTTCTCCTCAAAGGTCTTAATTCACTGTAGCCTCTCCTATACTCTTCTGGAATTATCCCTTACACGAATATAACCCCCTTCTTGCTATATCATACCATACCGTACTCTCTCCATCATCTGATCATATTAATAGTCGAGACCATATTAATAGTTTTTACCATATTATTCGGGAATTTTTGCTCAGTTGAATTTCTTTGATTTCCCTACTTTTTCACTATGTTTTCAGCAACTTATTCCAAAATTTCAACTGATTCCTGGATCCTCAATTTGTCAAGGTGAATTGTACAGAGATAAAATTAAGTAAATGTATTATCAATGTCTTACTTGTACGGGTGGTTTCTCAAAGTAATAGTCGAGATTGATTTTCTGGTAGATTACAGGACTCTCTGTGTCCATTTGGACAACCAGACGAGGTTCTTCCAATCCCAAATTCTCCCATTCTTCATCTTCATCTCTCTGGATGAAGTAGAAATAATAGCGACGGCTATCTGGTCTCTGCCTTTCCCAATTCGCCTGCAGCAACTCTTGGCAACTTCCACAGGTGGACAATATTGCTCACCTGGGACCTGTTGAAAATAAGTACAAGGTAGTTCCATCAAATAATGAAATCCGATAACTAAACTGTATGTGTGCCCGCCCCACATTTTTTTTTGATAAGTGTGCCCGCGCGACAAAATTGGAAAGGGTCCACACACTTGACGATTTCAGGATATCCCATCAAACAACCAAAATAAGAAAGAAAAATGCAAATTAAAAAAACAGAAACTAGCAAATATATGCTGTTTGGACATCTCATTAAATAGTTTTAATCAAGAACTAGACAGAAACATGGCGTATGGCATCAGACAGTTTTATATCAGATTGAAAAACAGGTAACAGCTATAAAATATTTACACCTACATGCATTTCAGTAATTAGGTTTCACTAAATAGGAAACCATTACTACATATAGGGCCGTAAATGAACTAAAATTTCGACGAACAGTTCGAACTCGGCTTGTTAAGAGTTCAGTTCATGTTTGTTTGTATAATAAATGAACCGTGCTTAAACAAAATTTTCAAGCTAGATTAAGAAACGAACCGAACTCAAACAACCTCATGCTCGGCTCGTTTGTTCGTGATCATGTTTGTGAACAAAGCTCGTAAATGCGTTCGTGAACACATGTACTTATATATATACTAGTAAAAGGCACATGCGATGCACGTGATGAATGTTTTGTAACTTATCGAATTTTTCTTTTCATATATTTTTAATTATTTTATAGAAATTATTTTATTTTATTTATATAAATCCTTATCTAATTAGATTTTCTTTTATTAAAAAACTTATAATAAATAGATAAAGACATATATTATATGTGATAGAGTTTTATTTTAAAATTAATTAATAAATTTTTTTATATTAAAAAACAAATACTGAAATGCTAAAATCTTTACACCTTTATACTTTATTTATATGTATTATTATATTATTATATATTTTCTTTAAATATATCATTGTCTAATGTGATAAAGTTTTATAGAAAACAAAATAAATAATTTGTGATAGAGTTTTATAAAATAATTTGTCATTTGTGGTAGAGTTTTATAGAAATACTTTTATTTTCTTTAAATATATCTATATATAGCTTGTTTTTATTTTCTTTTATTAAAAAACTCATACTAAAAGGTAATTTGAGGTAGAGTTTTACAAAAATTATTTTATTTTTTATATCAATTATTAAATATTTTCTATATTAACAATTCTTGTCTAGTTATTATATTTTCTTTTATTAAAAAACTTATAATAAATACACAAATAGGTAATTTGTATTAGAGTTTTATATAAACTCTTTTTAAAATATATTTTATTTTCTTTAAATATATTGTTGTCCAATTTGATTTCCTTCATTAAAAAACTCAAAATAAATAGATAAAAAAAAAAAAAAAATAGATAATTTGTGGTAGAGTTTTATAGAAATTATTTTATTTTCTGCAAATCTATTTATAATAAATAAATAAATAGGGAATTTGTGTTATAGTTTAATAGAAACTCTTTAAAAAACTCTTTTTATATCAATTAATAATTATTTTTTATATTAATAATTCTTGTCTAATTAGATTTCCTTTTTACTAAAAAAACTCATAGTAAATAGATAAATAGGTAATTTGTGTTAGAGTTTTATAGAAACTCTTTTCAAACCACTTTTATAATCAATTAATAAATAATTTTTTATCTTAATAATGCTTGTCTAATTAGATTCCCTTTTATTAAATAACTCATAATAAAAAGATAAATAGGTAATTTGTGTTAGAGTTTTATAGAAATTCTTTAAATATATCTTTATCTAATGTGATAGAGTTTTTTTGAAAATAAAATATGTATTTTGTAATAGAGTTTTATAGAAATTATTTTATTTTCTTTAAATATTTTCTTCTCTAATTAGATTTAATTTTATTAAGAAAAATATAAAAAAAAAACATGTAATTTGAAATAGAGTTTAATAGAAATTATTTTATTTTCTTTAAATATATCCTTATCTAATTAGATTTAATTTTATTAAGAAACTCGTAATAAAAGCTAATTTACGGTAGAGTTTTAGAAAAAAATTATTTTATTTTATATATCAATTAATAAATATTTTATATTAATAATTCTCATCTAATTATATTTTGTTTTATTTAAAAATTCATAATAATAAATAGTTAAATAGGTTAATTTGAATTTTATTAGATAGATTTTAGAGATTTAAAAAGATTTTTAAAAAAAAAAAAAAAAAAAAAAAAAAAAAAAAAAACTCTTTTCATACCAATTAATAAATATTGTTTTATATAAATAAATAAGTTCTGAAATACTGAAACTCTTTGCACATTTAATAATAAAATTCTTTTTTGGCATAGCTTCTGTATTTTATAGATAAAAACTATTTTTATATTAATTTATAAATATTTTTTTAAATAAATAAATAAATACTGAAACTTTTTGGCAGAACTTCTAGAATTCTAGGTCTATGCCCCCTCAGAATTTCTAGAATTCTCATTTTTTTGAAAATCTATTTAATTTTTTATATCAATTAAAAATATTTTTTACATTAATAATTCTAGTCTAAATAGATTTTCTTTTATTAAAAAACTTATCATAAATAAATAAATAGGTAATTTGTTTTAGAGTTTAATAGAAACTCCTTTAAAAACACTTTTTATATCAATTAATAAATATTTTTTATATTAATATTTTTTGCCTAATTAGATTTCCATTTATTAAAAAATTCTTAATAAATAGATAAATAGGTAATTTGTGTTAGAGTTTAATATAAACACTTTTAAAAACTCTTTTTATATCAATTAATAAATATTTTTATTTTAATAATTCTTGTCTAATTAGGTGTCC